ATAGGACCTTTAAGATGACTTCATGTGTTACGGTCAGGAGGAGTGCAAATACATCAATGTAATAAGCAAAATGGATGATAAAAAGGTAATTAAAAATATAAACTACCACATGGACAATATAAACCTTTTTCTCAGTAATTACATATGAAGCACTGTACCCCTCTGTCTTTCTTTTAATGTATTTTGGTTTTATTTATTGTTGTTTGGACTGCATTAATTTTTCTCTGTTGTATTTATGTTGAAGAACATATATGTTTTAGTATTATTTGATAATATGGTACTGCCTGCTATTTGTTTTGTCCCCACTAGATGGAGCTAAAGCAAAGTCAAATTAAACAGTAGCAGCTTCTATTAAAATTCCAATCACAAGCCAGACTTCCCCAACGCCTCTCTCTCGTGAATCAGCACTCCACATGATGAACGCTTTTACCGAGTTCAAGGACAGGAGCCACACCAGCACTCACTCTTATCAAAACACCGTTCAAATATAATTTATTGCACATTTAAAGATCAACATAAAGTGGCACAATACCCATTTTCAGTCCTGTTACACCAAAACCGAAGACGAAAATAAGAAATCCTTACAAAATGCTTCAACACACACCATCTTTAGAATTGTGTTTTGACTTTTTGAACAAAATGGCCATAACGTTGCAGGAATGCCAGTGCGAAACTGCATAGATTTCCAAAAACACTTCTAAAAAATGTTAAAAAATTAAAAATAAGTTTGTTTGTTTTTTATGGCACGGAAAACCAAATCAGCGTTACTCATAGTTATGAGTATAGCCACTTCCACATTAACCGAGTGATTTACAGTGTGTAGAACAAAAGGGTATTCCCCAACTGAATGAAGAACAAAAGTGAGTAATGTCTTCTGAAATAAACCAGTGTTGAGCCCGATTTGAAAAACACTATTTGCAAGAGTTCAAATTTCAAAGTTGAGGTTTAAAATTAAAATCACATTAGCCCTAAATTTTTCTTAAAATCTAAAAAAAAAACGTTACTGCTTTACAATATAGGGTCACTCAAAACTATGTGGATATACAGTTTTAGGTTATTTAAAAAAAAAAAAAAATCTATGTTGTAGTCCAGAATTTGTCTTTCATTTGTTTACATGCATATCTATCAGCGGGTATGCAAAAATATTGAAATAGTAATACATTGTGATACTAAATTTGGTGATACAGCAGCTTTATCGTAGGTTGCTGTATCGATATATCATTGTTTATCATTTGTTTGTTGTTGCTTATTTAGTGGAAGGAAATGTGTTTATGAGATACACTTGACATAATCGCTGTTTTGAAGATTAAAACTGAAATTTTGCACAAGTAGTGGTTTAATAAAGAAATATTGTTGCTAAAATGCGTTTGGTTCTCAAAAAAACAGCAGTATATCATAGAATATCATGTACAATATATCGATTATCACATGTATCGCCATCGTGATAATATCATGAGCCATGTATCGAGTATCAAATCAAATCGTGAGAGCCCCCGTGACTAGTTAACCATGGTACCAATTACAAATTTCAGCTGATTTAACAATGTATGAGAAATGGGTCAAACATACATTGGTTTAAAACGCATGTAAGAGTTTTATTTTTGATTTTTTTGCTACTTCATGCTCTACTGAGCATGTCTCCTGCAGAAAGAGCCGTTGTTCTGTCTTGTATCATGTGAGATTTTTGTAGGATTTCAGCAGATTTCAGGTTCTCTAGGCTAGTTGTGTCAATCAAGTATGAGTGGGTGTCCATAAGGTGACCAGACGTCCCTATTTACCCGGGACAGTCCCAGTTTTGAGCCCTGTGCCCCCTGTCCCAGAAAATAATTTCAAACCTGGTGATTTGTCCCAGTTTTATACAAGAAATGTCCCTGGTGTCCCAGTTTTTGACCAATTTGATCCCTGCCAACAGTAAAGAGGCATAAATTGTCATCTGTTGAGGTAAAATACAGAAAAGCTGCTTAAAAATGACCAAACCACAAAGAAAATGTGACTATACTGACTTACGTGTTAGTCATGAATGGTCTCTGCATAACAATTTAATTACGCACTCGTTTCACAATTTTACTACCAAAAAATGGGGATGTCCCAGTTTTAATTCTGAAATTCTGGTCACCCTAGATGTTTGGCTACTGAAGTTTGAGATGTTTCTTCTTGTCGTTTACGTACCAACTTGCATTTAACTCATTCAGGCGACTAAGACGTATCGCACTAATGTTAATTTAGCATCATAACTTATTTTATCATACGGCAATAAACTGTTTTATTGCACTGATAAACAAATAATCCATCTCTAGATAGGCTACTAAGCATTTGCAGTTATTTCTGTAAACCTTTTGAGTAGCAGTCATTAATTTAACAAGTAGTGAATAAACAAACCTCAAAAATTTGCTAAATTTTCGCTATTAGCATTAGAAACTGGCCAGCAACCTTCCAAGTATAGTCACAGTCGTCACTTTAGGCCTATTATATCGAGCCCTATATTGAAAAGCAGTATCCAGTGTGCACTTAGTTGTGGTGTTATTTGAGTAAAATAAAAAATAAAACTAAATAAAATTACAAAAACATGATCGTCACAGTCATATCTCCATAATACTATTTACATCTTTGTCCTTTATCTTTTCAAAGCCCCGTCAGAAAACCTCTTTGCATCCATATTAGTAATTAATTAGTTAGCATGTTTCAGATTGTGTGGCTAAATTCTATTACGTATTGCTGCATGGCTCGTTTTTGTCAAAAATCGCATTTTTTTTGTGTGGAAAATCTACTTTTTTGTGTGTGTATTCAACTAAACCTATGAATTTGTTGATCCCGGTAAACAAAAAACTCCTCCCGTTGATAACCATGGTGCAACCGAGCTCGATAAATGACCATTATGTACAGTGATAAATGATGAAAGTGCAAAAACTAAACTCTATAGTGAACATTACGATATGTTGCTTGCCGTCTTCGCTCTTCGCCCTATGAAAACGCATGGATGTAAAAAAAAGCACAGCATAATACAAAGTTGGCCAACGGCTAACGGCACAATTAGCATGCTAACTGGCTAACAACATCTCTCCTAGACACAGTATATTAGGGTTACCTGATTCGGACGTTTTACAGTTTCACTGGGACAGCCTGGTTGCATAATATTAGCATATAAATATTAACCAGTGGGTCTGTTGGCGCCATTTTAAAGAAAGTCTACTCATATGAATCGAATTTGGTGAAAATGGCCTAGTCTAGGATCAGGTTTCTAACTGAACTATTTAGACAACAATTTATTAAAACGTGGAAGACTATGAAAAATGGCTGCCAATATAAAAGCATGAACATTTTTGTATAGCTTCATAATCGTAAATGTTCAACAAGTTCCATTTTATTTAGTTTAAATGTTCAAATCTATAGACTTAAGACATGTTATAGTATTAACTAGGGATGCATCAGTCTAATACTGGGATCAGATATCAGTGCCGATATTGAAAAATTTGTTGGCTCAGATATCGGCTGCCAAATGTCGATACTGCCAATATCCTGCTTGGTCCTACAAAACTATGTAATAAGACTATTTACTAGTCATACGTGGCCCTGAAAGTCTCATAATAGGTCTTTTTCGCAATGACCGGAAGTGCCGCGATCTAGGGTAAACGTCACTTATGTTAATGCTTTTCTATGGCAAAAATCTGTGGAAATGTCTAGCGTATTTTCCACCCTCTTCATAAATCTGCCCCATCACCAAATGTTCATCCAACAAGATCCACAAAGGACATATTCTGTCCATGAAGAATTTATCCACAACTATCAAGGTAAGAAAGATGAAAACATAAAAGCGAACGACTAGCATTAGTGAACTACTCCTAAGCCAAACTAACATTATGGTCATGAATAAAACATAATTTGTGAACTCAGACTGATTTTACAATTAAAATAAAAAAATCTATTTCATGATTTAGATATTGGCATAGAGAGAGATTTGTGCAGTTCGAATGCTAAAGATGTTCACAGATGACATGTCTAGCATTTACACTGCACAAATCTCTCTGTCTACGCTAATATCTACATCATGAAATTGATTTTTTTATTTTAATTGTAGAATCAGTCTCAGTCTTAAGTTACTTATGTTTTATTCATGACCATAATGTTAGTTTTGCTCAGGAGTAGTTCACTAATGCGTTGTCATTGTTCATCTTTACGTTTTCGTCTTTCTCATCTTGATAGTTCTGGATAAATACTTCATGGACAGAATATGTTGTTTGTCAGTTTTGTTGGATGAAGATTTGGTGATGAGATTTATGAAGCTGGTGGAAAATACGTGAGACATTTCCACAGATATTTTGCCATAGAAAAGCATTAAACGGGAGTTACATTTACCCTACATCGCAGCACTTCTGGCTGTTGTGAAAAGGGTCTATGTTTGAACTTTTATCACAAAAAGCTGTTCTGTAGTTACTTGAGGGATAAGGAACAGCTACAGTACATAACACATCTGGAGCTGTTTTGTCTCATTTTATTTTTGTATAAAGGAAGTAGATGCCATTTTCAGTCTCCCCTTTATATATCGATATCGTAGTATCAAAATCAGTACCGGGACAAAAAAAGATGGCTGGATATGTGCATCTCTAGTAACGCTTGCACTGTTCATAAGGCCTAAGAAGCTTAGAATTCTAACAAAATTATAAACATAAAAAATATACATAATCATTTCTAAATGATTCATATGAGTAGACTTATTTTCAAATGGCACCAATTAAAATCCTGCAATAAATAAAAGAACACATTGTGAGACATTGGACCTCTGCCTGAAACTGACCAGAAAATATGAAAACATTATATACATGAACAACTGTAAAAAAGGAGAATGCAATTGGCACAAAAACAAACAAAATATGCTTTCAGGTCTTTGATAGCCTCTTAGTAGAGCTAACATTAAAATTAATAACTTAACTACTCGCCCCATTACCACTGCAGTGCTATTTTCAGTGTTAAAAAATGAAAATAAAAAAGCAGTACAAAGAATACCTGCTCAAAATGTTTAATTTCTGATCCAGCATCATTTTGTTTATGGAGTTACAAGCTGGGAATAGCAGATAAGAGAGACCTCAAAAGTACCCAGCCTTAGATTAAAGGTGGTTGGTCGTCATGCCTGTGTTAATACCACAAAAATAAGAACTGTTGTCATGATGCAGTTAGTTAAAAAGCAGCACTTGAGAAAAAATGATTGAGAAATGCTTAAAAATGTGAATTCGGATAGGCTTGTACCATCGTGGCAGTGTTCTCTTTTCATTTTTTATGGAAATCGACCATGAATTTAACTCGTCTCTTCTTCTCTTCTTTATCCTGATTTGGTTTGCTTCGGAAAAATATAATCGCAAACGTAATCTTTTCCCCCCAACACGAGTTTCCTCTTTTAAAGCCACAATATTTGCAGCATCCCCAAAATTTCTGGACAAGATGGAGGTGCTTCGATAAATGCTAAATAGTTTGTTTTGTATGGCACAGAGAGGAAACCAGTGACTCGATTCAGTTCTCCAAGGTTCCTCTGAGGTTAGTTAGTGCACATCGTTCTTGTATGTGGGGTTGGATGGAGATGGAGATGGGGTAGACTGGGATAGGATTTGGTAGGATGGAGTAAGATGGGATAGGGTGGAGTAGGATGTGGTAGGATGGGTTAGGATAGGGTAGGGTAGGATTGGGGTAGGATGGGACAGGTTGTGTTGTGGTGGTCTATAGGTTCTCCCCCGGTTGGTACTGAGGCTCGGTGGAGGTGAAGTAGTCCTCTAGGAAGCCCTGTAGGTACTCAAACGTGGGTCTCTCCTCTGGGTCCTTCCTCCAGCAGGACAGCATGAGCTCGTGCAGGGAGCTGGGGCATTCAGACGGGCAGGGCATCCGGTACCCTCGCTCCACCTGGTCCAGCACCTCGCGGTTCACCATTCCTGTGGAGGAGATGATTTGGAGATAACAGTATTAGGTTACGTTTACATATAGCCGGGTATGTTGAGAAACAAATATTTCCCTTCCCTCCGTTTTCCAAAATAACATTGTGCACACAGTCACGAAAAACTTTTTGTTTACATCAACCCGCATAAATACTCCATCAAGCACCGTCTTAACTACACCAAGCCTCTGGGCAGCACTTGTATTAGATTCAAACCTGTAGCATTTATTTCATTATAGTTGTAAGCATTACTCACAAATACCTTGAAAAACGAGCATTACTCAGCGGGTTTGCCTCTCCACAGATATGTTAAAGAAGTGATAAAATTGCTGACGTCCGAGCCTCATTTGTCTGTGGTCATGGATGATACATCAGCTGTGTGTGCAAGTGCAAATGCAAACACATGAAAAGTGTTTGCACCAGAAGAAATGCCACTGCTGCTCTGAATGCTCCATGATCATCATCAGAGCAAAAGATAAACATTGGTTGCACTTTTGGCACGTTAGCTGCCTAAAGCTACGTTTATCTCACTTTACACGCAAATGCGAAACCATAGTTTTCCAGAATCTCCTCTCTAGCCGGAGTTTTTAGAGAGGTTCGTTTTCAGAGGTGGATTTGCCTGTTTCCGTGTAAAAGATGGGTACAAACGAAGGGAAATGTCTTAGTTTTTAAAGAACACCCGTGTACGTATAAAAGAGGCCTTAGTGAGGAGACAGTGATGCAGCGAGTTAAATTATCAAGTTTTCAACTTTCCAAACTTGGTTTTACCCCAAGTGAATAAAATCCAAATCAAATTTTGTTCATTTTGTTTACCAAATCTCAGGCTTGGTTTAATTCAGTTTTACAAAGAGTTAAAGCATCAGAAATGTATTTATACGGTGTTTTTCTGGAAAGAATATATATTCCAGATTCACAGCATTTCTGCTTAAATTAGTAAAACAAATTTGAATCGATCGTTCAAAAGGACTGACTGTAAATAAGATATACTGTACAGTCTATACCATATCTGAAAAGGACAAGTTGGCCTAAAAACAAATGAGGTTGCATTGCTAAGATCTACTCAGTTCATTACCTGGATATGGAACTCTGCCTTTTGTTGCCAGTTCGGTCAGGAGCACTCCAAAAGACCACACATCTGACTTTATGGTGAAGCGTCCATAAAGAGCTGCTTCTGGAGCTGTCCATTTGATCGGGAACTTGGCTCCTACACAGAAAGTATTGATTGGTTAAAAACTATTCACATTATACAAAGTTAAAAATATTTATGACACAGTGAGTGATTCAGTGTAGAGAAGGTTTCATCTGTGGTCATCTGGACTTTGTTTTTGCAAACAAGACAATAACAAGCGAGTCACATGCAAATCAGGTATTTTCATAATGATGAAACAGCCAAACAGTAGTGAAAGAAGTACTCAATTTTGTTACTTAAATAAAAACACAGATACCAGAGCAAAGAAATACTGTACTCTAGTAAAAGTATCACATGAAAAATATCAACTAAAGTAAATGTATTAAAAGTTCCTGTTTAAAAATGTATTGAAAGAGTACAACATAAACAGTATTTCACACAAATTTTGAGATCTAAGAAAGCTTCTTCTAAAGTTTTATTCCCTACCTGTTTTTATTTTTATATTTTTGTTTGCTCAAACTATGAACATGTTAAAAATAAACCCTCTGACTTTTCAGCAGGTCTCAAACTATCTAACTAACTATAAAAATACTTTTATTTTTCAGTCCATTAGTTGAGTAGAAAGTACAGCTACCTGCTCTCAAATGTAGTAAAGTAAAAGTAAAGTACCCATTTTTAAAAAGTTAAGTACAGATACCTAAAATTGATACTCTTTATAGCAACTAGGGATGTAACAATATCCAAATTTCTCAATACAATATTCTTTCGATATGCATCATATGGTACGATATTTATTGCGATATTTTATAGAGGAAAAAAATAAATCTGTCTCTCTCTCTCTCTCATGATAATCCAAACTAATATTTTAAAGTGCTTAATAACAGCTATTCCAACACGTGGATTGGACTGAGAGCAAAGGATCATGGTCTATGTAGTTCTCCGTTTTTTAGCTGTTGCTGCACTATAACAATGAATTTAAACAAAGAGACTCGAGATTCAATGCATTGTGATGGCCCACGATATTATTGTGAGACTTCTGACGATACCATATATTTGGATCATCCCTAATAATGACCCATAATGATGTTAGCTGTAAACAAGGGCTCTAAAACCGATGAAACATTGGATTTTTGGTCTTTAACTGTGCACCATTTTAAACCCGTGTATAAATACTGTATCTGGCGGATGACTCACCCTGCCTGGCTGTGTACTCATTGTCCTCTATGAGCCTGGCCAGTCCAAAGTCAGCCACCTTACACACCAGGCTGTCCCCCACCAGGATGTTGGCGGCGCGCAGGTCCCGGTGCACGTAGTTCATCCGCTCCACGTAGGCCATTCCGGCGGCAATCTGGACACGACCAGGGAGGTACACAGGGACTTTATTAAAACACGCTGTTACGTAATATGCAGGGGCTATTATATGACCCCCTGTGTGTTCGGACGTAATTAAAACTCTAAATATAATGCAGTAGAAAGGCTAAGTACACATTGGTCTTGGTATTTTTCATTGCATATATTAAATCAGAGTAAACACTAAATCAACTTGTTTGGTAATAAACTGTGTAGATGGGGTTATTGTGTACTGCTCCTAGTCCTTTTTGGGGAATTTTAGTGTAAACTAGGTGAACTTGCAGCCTTGACTGAGCATGTGCTTCCTCCAGTGGCCAATGCAATTACTTCAAGTACTATGTGACATCACAAAGCACTACAGCTCTATATGAAATGTGGTTACAGGAGGAGTTTAGTGCATGGCAAATAAGTAAATAATTTCAAGCTTGATTTATAAAAAGCCTCTGCTGGAGGAGTGAAGCAGTTTAGATAGGGTTTAGAAACAATAGCTGCTAACATAGAGGTTAGTTAGCTACATTTTGTTAAATACGGGGTAAGTAAAATCCATGAGCGTTTCTGCTGAACATTACAGTAGAGTTAAAACACTTTCTTTCTGGGTTCACTTTTAAAAAGGCTGACTGTAGACCACATGCAGCTTTGGAAAGGCTCTGATCTGGTCATATTGACATCACAATTTGGAGCTAGTCCAACAGCTCAAAGTCATGACTGTCAAAGCTCATAATGTTAGACGTGATAATGTCTGTAGTCTTACCTGAGCGGCCATGTCGACTAATTGAGGCAGACGCAGCATCTTCCCTGCATCACCCTTGAGGAAGTCTAATAAACTACCTGTAAAACAACAACAGCAACAACAATAACAAATCAGTGTAACAAAAAATACAGTAAAATAAAATAAAAACTGCATTGTAATTCAAAAGGAAAAAAAGCCATAACATTTTATGAGCCTGGTATTGTAATAATTGGTATGAATAATTAGTCATGTATGATGCTCGAATCATTCAATATTCAAATCACTATCTAAGAAAATATTGCTTTTATCTTATGTGTATGTTAATATTTCCCATATTCAGTATCTTATCGATTAGTATAGTACAAGTGACCAATTCAATACTCGTACCGATACTGAAAAATAAGCTGGATCTGATATCAGTTTCCAAATATCAGTTTAGAAAGTCTCATAATATTTGAACTTTTATTTTACAAAGTTGTTCTGCAGATACTGGTGGAATAAATAGTAGCTACATAACACATTTGGATCAGTTTTGTCTTTTTGTTTAAAGGAAATTAATGCGGTTTTCAGACTCTACACTGGTATAGACTGATACCAGATATTGGAAGATACTTAAAGCCATAATATCAAAACCGGTATCAGAAATGAAAAGCTGGATAGTTGCATCCTTGTCCATTAGAACATGTTTTGTCTCTGACCTTGGCTCATGAACTCAGTGACGATGTAGATGGGCTCCTCTGACACCACTGCGTACAGCTGCACTAACTTCTCATGACGGAGCTTCTTCATGACCTGGGCCTCCTGCAGGAAGGCCTCAGGAGACATGGTCCCAGGCTTCAGGGTTTTAATGGCCACCCGCGTTGTACCGTTCCAAGTACCTGGACAGACATGGATGGGTTATTATGTATTATCAACCAATATTCTCATTGACCACCAAGCCAATTGGGTTAGGTGCCTTGCCCAAGGACACAACTACAGTATGCACATGATCCAATCTTCTGTATATACTTAGAAGATACAAAAGAAAAAAATCCTAAATATATGGAATTTGTGCTCAATTTGTGCACACATAAAAATATTACTTTTCCAAGGTTAAAGACTCACCTTAAGCAGACTAGCTTTTAACACACTTTTTATTCTCAATTTCTTCATAGCTGCACTATGTACTGCAGGGGTCACCAAACGTTTTTCTCTGGGGCCCACATTATCGCTCCTGACTGTGATGGGGGCCGGGGTCAGGTCGGCCGTATAACAAAAAATTGTATGACTCTGATGACGCAGATTATATTCTTTGAAAACCGCCACACTTTCTTTGCATATCAGACAAATTGCACGCTCCTTATACTGAACAAAAACATAATCGGTCATCCACTGTTCTTTGAAAACGCTGCACTCTCTGTCAACTTTTTGTACTTTAACACTCTCAATTTTGCTGCCCTTAACTGCACTACAATACTTTGTACGTGCGTTGACTCTCACCGTTTGATCTCGAGTTTGTCAGGTGACGAAATTTTGACGGCAGATGTAAATACGTCATAATTAGTTAAATATAAATATAAACACTTCATATAAATATCATTTTTTATTGAAAAAAATCAACAAAACACAAGATGTAGACATGTTATTATTTGCCAAAAAGTAATAAAAAATAAATAAACAGGCCATGACAACTTTTGAGGATTGTCTCATAGGGCCACTTCAAGTGGTGGGGGGCAGAGGGGTTGGGGGGGCCAATCAAAGAGACGTGGAGGGCCGGAGTCAGCCCGCAGGCCTTAGTTTGATGACCCCAGATGTACTGTGTTTGTTATATTTGATCTAGGTTTATGTGGTTTTGTCCCCACCCTGTAAACATGTTGGTTTCTTGTTTTTAGTCTCTATAAATAATATACTGAAAACATGTACAGAAATGTAAAGAAATGTGTGAAAAACAAAGCAGCAACAGCACTGGCCCTTACCCATCCAAACCTCTCCGAAGCAGCCCTGCCCCAGCTTGAGGTCCAGCCGGAGGGACTCTCGGGGAATCTCCCAGGCGTCTCTGGCCAGGCCCTGGGTCTGAGGTTTGGACACGGGGCACACGTCTGTGAGGGCATGGCACAGGCCATCCGAGTGCTCTGGAAGAGGAAGGAGAAGGAGAGGAGAATGAGCTTAGTCATAGTAAAACAATAGCCAATTTACAATAACGTCACAACCTTTGACAAACAAACCAGCACCTGAAACTCATTCTACATGTAAACACCAGAAGATAATGTTACAAAATGTTAGAATTCTAAATGAGGAGGATGTTTGATGGAGGGGGACATACTGGCTTTGCTTTAGCGTCTGTCTAAAAAACTAAATCTTGCCAAGTTAAGATGACTTGAATTAAAAAAGTTCTTTCATGATTTGAGTAAATTTCACTTCACAAGTAAAATTATCTGCCAGTGGAACAAGAGTTTTTGTACTTAACATATGAAAATACATCTTGCTCCACTTAAAATAAGAAACAAAATCTAACGTTGCTTGAATTAAGAAAAATACACTTATTCCACTGGTGGATAATTATACTTGCCAAGTTAAATCTACTCAAATAAAATAAAATGTTCTTAATTAAGTCATTTTCATTTCCCATGATGTGTTGCAATGTGACATCACAATCTACTTTAACCAACTGTTGTCACATATGTAATCAATTTGAGCAAAGAACTAAAATGATTAAGAGTGAATTTTTTTATCCATTTCAGTTCTGCCATGCTTTTTTGAATGAACTTTTTAGTTTGGAAGTTTGAGAAATAATTATACTTTAAGATCTGAACAGAAGGATGTGTGTTCAAACTAGCGCTGCACAAAATTAGAGGAGGAGATTCTCAATAATTACGCTGAATACAGATTTTTTAAAATACAAAATAAACAGAAATCTTGATAGACCTTACATTACAGACTGTTTCAAACTGTGTTGCATAGAGTACACACATTCTTATCCTCGCACATACACAAACACTAAATATGTAATAACTAAAAGGAAACCATTTTAAAATTTTCAGTAATTTCTTTGTTAAGGACGACTCTATAAGAACAAATAATTAAAGCTCTGTCAAAGTATAATGTCTTATAAATCAGTATTGTGCTTCAGATGTGTATTGTGCAGCCCTAGTTCATTGTGTCCAGCACTTTCTATACACTAAACCTAAAAAAATAATTAAAAAATAAAATGCTTCAAATGTGGTACTGACTTCTGTAGTGGAAGACGAGCTGTTGCAGGCTGGTGAACTGCGTACGAGAGGTGATGTAAAAACCCCCACTGTCCAGCTTCCTGATCTTATAGTGTTTGACGTTCAGGCCTTTGGTGTTGTCATAGTCCAGCACAGAGAGACAGTACGCCCCTGGAAAAAAAGAGAAAGGAGAGAAACACATGGTAGAGAGTGGGGGTCAGAGAGGGGGCCATAAACCAGGGCTCATCCCGGAGGAGACAGCTGCTCGGTGGGATGTCCAGACACAGACAGCTGGGAGAGGGAGGGAAAAGCCCCAGTGACCTCGGTAAATGACACCATGGCGACTGGACCTGCTCCGAGAGGGGAGAGTGGTGACAGGCTAAACAGGTGACAGAGAAAGTAACAGCAAACTGGAGATCTGGGTTTTATTTTAACAACAGTTTTATAGTCATTCAATGATACTACATAGATTTGTGATGAAGAAAATGGTTTGCATGATTAGCAGTTATTTATATACATATTATTTTTTTGTCAAGCAAGATAGTCTTAGAAACGCTGGAGACACTAGACGTTTGCAAGTGCAAGTCTGGGTACCAGCCAATCAGCAAGGAGCCATACATTCTGTGTTGGCAATGATTCCCGAGATCGAGGATTTAAAGCCGGAACAAAGACAATGTTTGGTGAATCAAGGGGAAAGACAGTATTGCCCTTCTTCCTACAGGATTTTGGAAAAGCTTAATATACCAGTTAGCCCCGTTAGCAGCACATTATATGTCACAACCAAATAGCAGCGATTGGTTAAATAAAAAAAGTACCCGCCTACCGTCGAGTGAACGAATTCTAATGCTGCGAGGTCAGACGGTTTCCAAGGTGAAACCGGCTAATGAATCAAACCAAGATAATCTACCAGTTTGGTAAGATTTTTTAATTCATGAAAACTTCTGTTAATAGATTTGAGTCTGATGAGTAAACCTAAACAAAAAAAAACTTTATTATTTTAACTTCAAGCAAATTTGATGTTTTTCATAGTTTAGCATTATACACTGATATTTTTTACTGGTTTCAGATAATTTTCTTTTGTGTTTTGTGCTTCATTTATTATTTAGTGATATTACATAGATTTGTAAAGATGAAAATGTCTCCAAATGTTCATCATAGCATGGTTAGCAGGGCTTGATGTCAAGGCTAATGAAATTCAAATGTACGTAGATATCTATTTTGGTTGTAATAGGTTTATTCTGACCAGTCACCTATAGCTAGTAGGATATAATGAATAAATATTTTGTGTGTAGTAATTTGTTATGATGTTTCTTTCTTCTCTTCTTATCAGGGTAAATATAAACAAAAAAAATAGGCCTGAAAAGCAAAGGTTAAGTTGGTAAAAGGCCCATTATATTACACCTATTTTCTGTTCTATGTTATAATGTTGTTTCCTCATCACAAACTTGCCTGTTTTGTTTCATTCTTTCACACATTTTACACACAAATCCAGCATATTTAGGCTGTGGACTCATGATGTCATGTGGTAATACAGGAAGTGCTCCAATGTTTTTTAAACTCCGTACACTTCCACTAGAATCATTTGGATGATTTCAGCCCTGGAACTGAATTAATGTTAAAAAGGCAAATATAGTAATGTAAAAAACTACTTCAGCATCAAAGTTTATAAAGTCTCACTAGTTTTCTTGTGTGGTTAAAGTTGCATGTTGTAACTTTTTGGTTGGGTCACTGTCCCCTGCTTGTTTCTATGGATATGTCATTGCTCTGTCTGACATGTTCCACAGTATGACATTAAACAGCTCTACCTAACATTTATTACATCGCCTCTTCACAGATCTGACCTGTAATTTGGTCTTTTTTGATCTCTATGAAGAAAGGTTTAATGCCATACTGTGGAACATTCCAGACAAGGCAATAACATCTCCACATAGAAAAGCATTTGATGGACACTCCACCAGAAAAGTTACACAATGCACCTTTAAGTTTCCAAGTCATGTACGCACTAGAAAAATCACAAAGTACTGTATTATCCAAAACGAAGAAACAACACAGTCTGAGTTGAAATAGGTCAAACGGGCGCTCCCCTCAGATCCACACAGTTCATACAGTCTCCCTGCTCGGCTCATCTCTCATATCTATTACAGATGGCACCCTAGGGCCCCACGAACCTGCTGCCAAAGCCCCGCCCACTTCTCCCACTCTTCTTTCCACCGAGCCACGGGGAGACAGCACCCTACCAACTCGACCTAGTTACTCACCCCCATCTTCCACAGAGTTGGAAAAAAGTTACGACTCAATACAATTTTGATGAAAAGCAGAGTCTAATGTTATAAATTTTGTTTGATGTACTGGCAAAAATTGAATTATACCCGATTTAGGAAATTGGGAAAACACAAAAAACTAAAGAAAATTATCTGAAACCATTAAAAATATCTATACACAACACAAAAATTAAGAATATAACATCTGATTGAAGTAGTTTTTTGTTAAGGTTTACTCTTTAAACCCAAATTTATTGACAAAATTTTCCATGAAAATTTATACTTTTTACTCCTTAAAGGGCCCATATTACACTCTGTTATATCGTTTCCTCATCACAAACAGACCTGGAGTTGTGTTTTGTTTTATTCATACATTTTTAAACACACAACCCCTGCATCTTTACGCTGAGTTCTTCTCTCAAACTGAAAACACTCAGTTCCACCTTGTGATGTCATGTGGTAACACAGGAAGTGCTCCACTGTGACTTTAAACTCCATACATCTTCACTAGAATAATTTAAATAATTTCAGCCCTGGGATCGCCAGTCTCTACTGAACTAAAGGTAAAAGGTAGATGTTAACTTGAAAACTACCTCTTCATGACATCACAAGGTGGAACGGAGCACTTTGAGGACTGGAGATGTAAACAGACTAATAATGAAGGATTTCTCAAACTTGTGTCACTGAAACAAAACACAACTGCAGGCATGTTTTTGAGGAGGTAACAACATTATAACATGGCTCAAAACTCACATGGTCAGTTTTGCATAATATAGGACCAATAAAAAAGCTAAATTAACAGACTAAATTTTACTTAAATTCAAACCAAAAAAGAAAAAAAACAACTGGAAGATCATTTGGCTTGACAAAAGAGACAAAAAAAAAAATGTAAAAACAGAACATCTTGTAAGTAAATAAATGTAAACTAGTCAAATATCCTAAACATTCTGAATTCCAACAATTTTTTTACACTATTCTTTTTGCACTGTTCATTATTCTCCTCAGAGACATTGAAAAAGTTAAGATTGTGTTTTTGTTCGAAAAGACAAGCCCGAAACATAAAAAAGTGCCAAGGGCGTGTGTCAAAAACAGCAAAGCACTTAATTAGCAGATTCTTCCTTTTTCTTATCCTTTCCCTTAAGAGACACTTGGTTTGAAGTACTTCTGCTGCTTGGAGTACACTCAAGGGATTATGGGTAGTTGCATCACTTCCTCCATTCGCACATTAACTGAATTTGTACTTGTTAATATGAAGTACAATGCCCTCACATGTCTTCAGACGGGAGTGGAAAGAAATTGGATAGACGGAAAGAAATTATTCAGTGCGATTCGAAAGTCTGGATACAGAAAAGGAAGGAAGTAATAATAATGAATAATAATGCATCAGTTTTAAATAGAGCTTTTCTGGACACTCAAAGACGCTTTACAGAGCATTATTCATTCACTCCACACTCGGTGGTAAAATACTATCGACCCCTCCGACCACCACCATCACTCACGCACACACCGCTTTCATACTAGGCAATGTGGGTGAAGTGTCTTGGCTAAGGACACAATGACAGTTTTTGCGACTGGTGCTTGACTCTGGCACCTGATTTTCCCACCAGTCTCCCATCCAAGTACTACCCAGGCCCGGCCCTGTTTAGCTTCTGAGATCTGACAGGATCAGGCTTTGACAAACTGGTATAGCCACGAAGAGCATTACGTATAAACATTTTCATCTTAAATTAACTCAAATAACTCTCAAAACGTTACAGGAACTTTGGTCCAGTGTTACGTAATGAACAATGTTAAATTAACTCTAGAACAGACTGGTCTCATATAAACCCTGAGAAAATGTTCAAAATGATTCTGTGAGATGTTAACACTCCACTTTCTGCTGTGTATATACAAGTGTTATTTATACAGTCCATCGTTTTTGGGCGTTTAGGGTTAGTAAGTTTAGTTCCATGGGTTAGACTCGGGTTAGTTTAGTTCGGACCTCCGGGAATCTGACTGTTTAATATTTACACTCCTAAACACACAAAACATGTTTATTTATTCATTTAAACTCCTCGTTCTGGGTTCCTCTCATTAGACTGTATCAGGGTGTCCAGTTGTCCCTGTCTCCCCGGGACAGTCCTAGTCCTGAGCCTGTGTCCCCTGTCCCAGCAGATTTATACAAAACCACTGATGTGTCTCAAGAAATCAAGAAATGTCCCAGGTGTACCTATTTTTGACCAATCTGATCCTGCAACAGTAATTGTAACATTAATAAATAAGTTATGATTAAAGGTGCACTATGTAACTTTTTGGTTTGGACCGTCACTTTATTGTTTCTATGGATATGTCATTGGTCTGCCTGGAATGTTCCACAGTATCCACAGACATTAAACAGCTCTACCTTACATTTATACAATTACAGGTGGTTTTATAGCGCAAAAATACCTAGAAAAGAGGCATTCTGACTGGGAGCGGGGTTGCCTCTTCACAGATCTGACCTGTAACTTTGGATTTGACCTCCATGAAGATATTAAGGTTTAATACCATACTGTGAAACATTCCAAACAAAGCAATAACATCTCCACGGAGAAAGCATTTGGTGGACTCGCCACCAGAAAAGTTACACAATGCAGCTTTGATTAACAATAGAACCAGATCAAAACACAAGTACTAGTCTACCTTCTTGGATTACAAAAAAAAATGTTTAGACTGGTCAAATCCCAATTGTCTAATAGAATATCATTCAAGATGCCCATTCTAATTAAACCCTATACTGTACATTTATTTACTCTTGGGAAAATCAAAAACAGTTTCAGTGTAGTCAGCTCCAAGCCTGATTCATCATCAATCTGACCTCAAAGCATTAGGATTCATTCGCTCAAGGGTAGGCGGGTACTTTTTTATTTAACCAATCGCTGCTATTTGGTCATGACGTATGTAATGCGCCAAATCCCGTAGGAAGAAGGGCAATAACTTCTTTTCCCCTTGATAAAATTCACCAAACATTCTCTTTGTTCCAGCTTTAAATCCTCGATCTCGGGAATTGTTGCCAACACAGAATGTATGGCTTCGTTTACATTCTAAAGCAGACCAGATCTAAAGGTAGTTACATTCAGAACCCTGTCAGAACTGAAGAAACCTCTTAGTACTACTAAACATATAATTAAATTGACTTTTGCAATTAATTCTTTTAGGAAATTAGATCCATTCACCAGCCTCACCACTGTTTCTACATAGTAATCCTCATTTAACCCCACATAAAATCAACACACACTGTATCAGTACTGTTGTAATTTCTGAGACAGTTGCCATGGTTACCTTTAGTGGTCTCGCTCTCCCGGACCAGAAAAGTCCCTCTCCGGTTCTGTAGGTTGAGGAGCAGCCGTTCAGAGTCCCGCCGAGTGATCTTCCCAAAGTACCACCTGCCAAAGAGAGGGGGCGCTCAGACACAGACAGGCCACTATTGAGCTCAAAGCCTGTATTTAGACTAGAAGAAGTGTAACGCAAGAGCTCTCACGCTGCTTATAACACGTGCAATTTTAAAGTGGAACTAAACACTAATGATGTATCCAAAAGTCCACCCTATAGTCCCTAAACCCTCATACTAACACTAGCACCTTTATTTTATTCAGAATCAGGATCAACAGTGTGATAAACCAGCACTTCTATCTGCTTCATTCAAGTGTTGTGTCCAGTTTAAGACCTCTCTCTGTCCACTGGTGTTTTCCCTGTTTTCTCTTGCAATCCAGTTTAGTGATCAGCGCTGGACACTACTTTCCAAGGGGCACTGTGAGAAAATTTGAGCGCACTACAATTTCTCCTGCAGGTCATTCAGACACTTCTAAATCTGCGTTTTTGGTTGCTAAACTTGCTACTATTTCCAGTCCTTTTTTAGCAGCTCTATTTGAAATGTGGTTGTGGGCAGAGTTTTGATGTTTAGTCCCACTTTAAGATGTTTTTAATAGATGGTCTTATGGTTTGGGTAGGTCCAGAGCAGTACTACAAGGACAAACCATGGCCAGGTAAACCAGTTCTAAACCAGGACTATACCAAGATCTATGGCTATAAGGGTAACCGAATTTACAGACTATGTTCAAAATCTGAAATAGCCAGTATAAACTCAGAGGTACGGTCATGTTTATCAAAAAGAAAATCAGAACAAACATTATGAAATTTTGTATATCTGTTAAAGTGGTGGATCACTGGAAAAACTGCACAGAAGACCTAAAATTATATACCACTTGCTTCCATTTTAAAAAGAAGTTTAAATGTTTAACTCTGGGCAAAAATATGATACTTAGTTTGCACTGTAGTACTTTGTTGTACTGTTACTGATTTGTTTCTTTCCTCTTGCTGTATTTATGAAGATGAACTGGTGTCAAATTGAAGCTCTGACAAAGGAATAAAGGGTAAAAAGGTAATAAGCACAAGGTTAAGCCTTCATCTTTTAGGGTCTGTGTATGTTAAATATGACTTTCTGTGAAATAATGTCAGAATATACCTGTGGCCGAAATAAATTAATCAATCAATCAATGCTAAACCAGGTTATACTTAAGACTATACTGGGTAGGTCTGTTCGTGGGTTTCAGCTTCCGGTTTTCTTTTCTACATTCTAAAGATATAATATTTTTTGTTGCTATGGAAACAGTCTTAAGTTTTCATCATACTGAAACTCATGGATAGCCAAGCCAAGATTTCTCCAAGGACAGAGCTTGTTCACCTGACATGTGCTCGTGTACTTTTGTTGAGATGCCGAGATCACTCTGTATCTGATCGTGACTCAATATTTTGAACAGAAACTATTTCAGAAGTTGCTTGCAGTTCTTCTCCCAAACTTAATGTTCTCTTGATACCAAATCTAATTTGTAGTGAACTCTTTTTGACTCCCGCCAATCAAACGCCCCTGAGGTCAAACATGGAGCGTTCCTGCTGCTTCCAGAATTCCCATTTCTCCCACTTGAGCACAAGCTTGGTGCAGTGTTCATGTGCAAATTTAACTTGTAAAGTTATAATTATTTATCCACATTATTTATCTGGTCAAAAAATAAAGGCTAAACTAGGACAAAGTGAGCACTAAACAAGCACTAAACCAAGCACTAAACCAGGATAAACCCAGGATAAAACTAGGTCAAAACCAAATCTAATCTGGGACCAAACCAGTATTGAATGTATATTAAACTAGGGCTCCAGATCTAAACCAGGTCTAAACCAGGTCTAAACCAGGTCTAAACCAGGACTAAACCAGGTCTAAACCAGGTCTAAACCAGGTCTAAACCAGGACTAAACCAGGTCTAAACCAGGTCTAAACCAGGTCTAAATCAGGAATAAACCAGGATAAAATTAGGTCAAAACCAAGTTTAATCTGGCACAAAACCAGTATTCAAACCCATACTAAACTAGGGCTCCAGATCTAAACCAGGACTAAACCAGGATGAAACCAGGACAAAACCATGTCAAAACCAGGACGAAACCAGGATGAAATCAGGAGGAAACCACGATAAAACTAGGTCAAACCCAAGACTAATCTGGGACAAAAGTGGTATTAAACCCATACTAAACTAGGGCTCCAGATCTAAACCAGGTCTAAACCAAGTCTAATCTGAGACAAAACCAGCATTAAACCCATACTAAACTAGGGCTTCAGAACTAAAGCAGGTCTAAACCACGATTTAACCAGGATAAAACTAAATCAAAGCCAAGTTTAATCTGGGACAAAACCCATAGCTCCAGATTTAAACCAGGACTAAACCAGATCTCAACCAGGAGTACTAGTAAACCAGATGTAAACCAAGTGTAAACCTGGACTAAACCAGCTCTAGACATGGACAAAACTGTGACAAAACCAGTGTTAAACGAGGTCTAAACCATAACTAAACCAAGCCAAATGACCTAACCAAAGTCTGAACCAACACTAAACCAGAACTAAACTAGGACTGCTCTAGGCTGTAAACCAGTCAAAACCGTGACAGTTCAGATTCACAAGTGACAGCAAAAATACACTTTGAAAATCACTGAACTAAACCGCATTACATCTAATCAGTGCTTGTGTAATGATTTAATAGAAAATGAAATGCTGTACTCTTCAGCTTGTATGGAGTCCGACGGGGCCACGTAGTTGCTGGGGATGTATCCGCTCTGACCGGAGGTGAGGGAGCGGGCCAGCCACCAGTCTCCTTCTCTGTGAGGAAAACACAAATATATAAATACAGTCATATAATACTGTGCAATATCCAGAGGTGGAAGGAGGACTCAGTTTTGTTACTTAAGGTCTAAAAGTACAGATACCGAAGCAAAAAATTCTCAAGTTAAAGTGAAACTATCATATGAAAAAATCTACTTCAGTAAAAGTATAAGTAAAGGCTGAAATATGCACTTAAAGAGTAAAAAGTAAAAGTATTTTGCACAGATTTTGAGAACGAATAAAGCTTCAAAAGTTGTGATTTCAATAAAGATTTGTGCTGAGTTTTTGTTTGTATGGTTTTTTTTTTTGTTTCCTCAGACTATGAACGAGTTAAAAATAAACCTCTCAGCCTTTTCTCAAGGTCTCAAACAATAATAAAAAATACTTTCACTTTTCAGTCTTGTTCAAAAATGTAGTGTAATAGAACATAGTACAGATACCTGTTTTCAAATGCAGTAAAGTATAAGTAAAACATTTTAAAATGTACCATACCCAAGTAAAGTACACATACCTAAAATTTATACTTAAAGGTGCACTGTGTAACTTTTTGGTTGGGGGTCTGTCACCTGTTTCTATGGTATTATTTGTCATTGCGCTGCCTGAAATGTTCCACAGTATGACATTAAACAGCTCTACCTTACATTTATTCAATTCAAAACAGATGATTTTATAGCTCAAAAATACAAAGCAATAACATCTCAATGAAGAAAAGCATTTGACGGACCTTCCACCAGAAAAGTTACACAATACACCTTTAAATCCTGTATTTTACTACTGGTAATTTTTACTAGAATATGGTTAGAAAGAGCATGTCTGCTTATTTGAAATGCTTTACTTCAAATATAGAGATCAGATCAACACAGAAGCACTGGTCCGCCTTCTGAGCGTTCATCATTTATTAACAGTTGTTCGATTTGTTTTCCCAGTTTACATCGTGACTCATAAGATCTATAACACAAGTTTAGTTCATGACTCAAATATAGCTACAAACAATCATGAATAAATAATTGAAGTTTACTCAATTTTCCGAATGTTGATTCTAAAATTGACCAGAAGTTAAAATGTGAAGTCAAAATCAATGTATAAACCATTAGTCGTGTCAAATGTTACAGTTTGTGAACATATTTGTCTGTTCTAATAGCATGGCAACAGTGCACTTCCTGGTTCTTTAACAATAATAAACTAGCCTTGATATTAAATGTTAGTTTGCGTTTCTTCCACCTTATCTAAAAAGTGTATATACTTTTCTGAAATGATTGGTTTATTCTCTAGAAACTTAGCAGATTTTGTTCCATCACATTACCATTATATAATAAATAAAATAAAAATAAAATAAAAAAGCTAAATAAAAACAATTTAAAAAATATATAATAATTAAATAAAAAATACATTAAATTAAATAATAATAATTTTGACTATTACTTGACGGAATTAAAATGTTAATTAAAATCTTTACTCAAACTGAAATTCAAAAATGGTGGGTTGTGGATTCAATCTCAACAGCACCGATTCATTTTTATCTCCATACACAATTTTCATGTTTAGGCTGCAGTTATTGAAAATAGCATGCCACTTATTTTCTATACGCCCTATAAGCACCAGTAGTTTTACAAGTTTTAAGCCCCAAATCCCAGAGACATGCAGACAGAAAACTTATGTCACATCTAAAGTGCACACAAGGACTAGACAAACTCAGAGGAATTGGGGAATTCTGCAAACACAACCTTTTGTTTCACCATACACTGAATATATATTCACCGCTATATTTCAAAATAAGAAAAAACACCCTGTAAACAAAAGGTTGTGCGTTTGTTTACTGTGGGGAGTGTTACTGACCTGAAGCTGTACTTTTTCCTGAGAGATACCAAACCATGGCGCAGGAGGAGGAGGAGGAAGAGGAGGAGGAGGAGGAAGAAGAGAGGAAAGAGAAAGAGAGACAAGACAGAGCCACACATCAAAACACTGCAGCGGTAGCAAGCAACAACAAAACCAAAGCTGGCATAGCACTGAGACAGGAGCGCTGTAATGTGGGGCCAGGCAGAGGGGACCATGGGCACAGTATACACTCTAATGGGTTTGTTTGAAAAGAGGATTCAATGCAACTCTAGGTATATAAATAATACTATGCTAAAGCAAAGGGCAGAGATTCAGCACTGAAGTAAATCAGGATACAGAAGCTATTTAAAGAGCTTATATATTTAATCTGATCTGAAGCTGTGTTTTGTTTCTTTCACACATGTTTAACACACAAATCCTGCATATTTAGACTGAGTTCTTCTCTCAAACAGAAAACACTCCGTCTTGTTCCATCTTGTCATGTCATTTGGCAATACAGGAATTGCTCCACTATGTTTTTAAAATATATACACCTTCACTAGAATCATCTGGATGATTTCAGACTTGGAATTTACAATCTCTACTACCGCTTCATTAGCCTGATTCAGCCGGTTTCACTTCGTAGAAACTGTCTGACCTCGCAGCATTAGAATTCGTTCACTCGACGGTAGGCAGGTACTTTTTTTATTTAACCAATCGCTGCTATTTGGCCGTGATGTATGTAATGCGCCACTAACGGAGCCAACTGGTATATTAAGCTTCTCCCAAATCCAGTAAGAAAGAAGAGCAATAACGTCTTTCCCCTTGATAAAATTCACCAAACATTCTCTTTGTTCCAGCTTTAAATCCTCAATCTCAGGAATCGTTGCCAACACAGAGTATATGGCTCTTCGCTGATTGGCTGATGCCCGAACTCGCACTTCTGAGGTTTTGGCCAACCGTCTAGTGTATTCCAAATCTTGACCTAGTCACTGGAGAGAAATGAAATTCAGCGGAGGCACTAGGTGGCGCCAGCCTCACTACCGCTTCATGACATCACAAATTGCAACAGAGCATTTTGAGATTTGGAGATGCACACAGACTAATAATGCAGGATTGTTCAAACATATGTGAATGAAAGAAAACACAATACAAAAAATATAATAAAACTACATGACACAGGCTATATGCTAGATATTTTAAGTACTAAAACTATGATCAAATAATTTAGAAAATCAAATAGAATACATAATGTGATTTATTTAGAATTTTGTGTTCTATTTTGACCAATGCAGAAAAGTAATTAGTACTGGTAGCCCTTTTTTTTTTTTCAACAACTTTACATCAATTTTGAATTATATAATTATGCCTTATTTGACACCTGTCTCTTGCTATCTTTTTGCTACTTATTTTGAATTTTTTATGACCACTTAAATGTTTTACTCTTTGTCATTATAATATATTGTGATGAGTGAGCTACAGTGTCCAGATCATTTCACTTGTGGATCAATAAAGCTTGTCTAAGTTTAAGTCTAAATCTAGAAATCTGCAGCCACCTGTACTATACCCGTTTTATATTTTATATTTCCACAAATCAATCAAGGCGTATTAGTAATTTGTAGGGATGTAACAACAACCGAAATATCATGATATTGTATTGTCAAAGTTCTCACAATAATATCGGGGATCTTAAAGCTTAAAAAAGACAGAGGGAACTACATAGACCATGATCCTTTGCTCCATTTCAGTGTAGACTACAAGAAGAAATAACAGTTCTAAGCAATTTAAGTTTTATTTCTTTGGAGTAAGTATTGTCAAGGCATTTTAAGAGGAAATAATATAATATTGTGAGCTTTCCCACGATATCGCAATAAATATCGTACCGTGAGGTTCATATTGTGACTATATTGTATCGTGAGACTTGGATATTGTTACACCCCTAGTAATTTGTAATATAATCTAATGCTTACACCATAAACAAACCTCAAAACCTTACCAGCCCCAATGCACAGCCCCACACTCAACACTAGCAGCAGACATCATGGCAGAAGATATGGAAAAAGATCATAGAAAAACACATAGGAAATCATTGTTGTTCCGAATCTACCACCTCCGCATACTTTTTCAACAACTCTTTTTCAAATTAAGCCAAAAATTATACCCCCCTTTGTTTCCGTAGTTCTCTGGCATCTTAAGTTGTTTTCATATCACAGCGCAGAGGAGGTAATTTAGGTGTTTGGGCGTAATTGGTGTTAAGAAGACTATGACAAATCTCACTAAATAAAGCAGTTGGATCATGAGAAGACACTGCGTAATACGGCAGATGGAGGGTTTTCGTGTCTGGGGCCTTCTCATTCACTTACTCACGTGTGTTGTTGTTGACGACGCCAAATTAGCCTGTTAGCGAAGGTTACGAAACAGATCTAGCTTACGTGTTGTTGACAATTTGCAGACGGTCGCCTTTCCTGAACGTCAGATCGGAGGCAGTGCGTGATTCGTAGTCGTACAGGGCCACGAATGTAGTGACTCCCCCTGCAACAAAGCACATGGGAAGAAACGTTAGCTTAGAGGTTCTGAGCATCGTTCTGAAGGTGAAGCTCTTAATTTAATGTATGTTTAATGTAATGTAGGTTAATGTATGCACAGAAACATTAGCTGATTTCCCCTTTGTTGTTTGTTTTCCATAAAATAATTCCACTGAGAGCACAAACAAAAAAGGCTAAAAACAGTAACTCTAAACATTAGCAAGACTTTTGCTTTTCATAGTTTTTGCCCACATTACATTGACATACTTAGTCCTAACCATAGCCACTAATTGTCTAACCTTAACCTAAACCCTCACCATAACCTATTTTAGCCCATATTTTAACTTAAAACCATGTTGTTGATAAAATATTTACATTATGGGAGGCAGGTCCATGAATTGAATGTACACTGTGTATATCAGGGGTCTCTAACCTATAGTTCAGGAGCTACTAGTAGTTCTCCTCCCCCTTACAAGTAACTCACCAAGAGATTTCTGAATTCTATGTATTGTGCATAATAGTAAAATTTGATTAATTACCATTGTAAATGTAAATGGTGCAACAAATAAAGGGATAATGGTTTATGTTTTATAACCATCTAACTGTTTCCCATCTAAGCAGGGGCAGACTGGGACAAAAAAAAACGGTCCTGGACTTTTCTCTCACAAATTGGCCCATGGATAAAAAAAATTGAAGACCGGGGTTAGGGTTAGGGTTCTGGACTCTTCTAGAATATAAACACTGCCAGTCTGTCCCTGCATCTAAAGATTGCTGTGGCTCTTATATTTACTTTGTTTCTTTGCGACTGCTGAAATTGGTAGTTCTCTGGTATTTATGTTTTGTAAAAGTAGCTCACTGGAGAAAAAAAGGTTGGAGACCCCTGGTGTATATAAATGGCCATAGCTCACACACCGCTGGATTCCATATAATTAATTAATTAATTAATCATTGGATTTATATGGTGCCTTTCAAGACATTCACAGTGCATTATTCATTCACTCCACACTTGTTGGTAGTAAGCTTCCATTGTAGCCACAGCTTCCCTGGGGCAGACTGACTGAAGTGAGGCTGCCAATCTGTGGCATCGCCCCTTCCAACCACCAACACATACTCTCACTTACACCACATTCTTACTAGGCAATGTGGGTGAAGTGTCTTACCTAAGGACATAACAATACTGCTAGGAGCCCCACAGTGGCACTTGGAATTTTCAGTGATCTCCGGTCCAAGTTCTAACTGGGCCCTGTGTGCTTATCTTCTGAGATCTGACGAGTTCAGGCTTTGACAAGTCGGTAAGGAAATTTAAAACTGCCCAAAATTCAAACTAATCATAAAAGTTTCTGTGTATCTATACGTGGTGTAAAACTCTGGAAGAATCTGGATACACATCTCAACCAATGCCAAAATATCCATGAATTCAAGTTGTTACATAAACATATGGTCTGGTCACAGTATATAGAGAGTTATTTTTATTTCTATTATGATTTCACTTATGTTATGTGTTACATTGTATAAGAATGTAAATCTGTACTTGCCTAAAATAAATACATAAATAAATAAAAAATGAATAAGTATGGCCACACAAACAGGAAGTGAGTATGGGCGCCCTTCCAGCTCCATCGACACTCTCTAATTCACTTTGTATTGAGAAGCTGTCACCCCTCTCTCTTTAACTGCTGCTGTGAGGCTCCTCACTTTGGTCTCAACACGTTCACATTAACCCACTCTATTTTTTTATTTTATTTTTTTTATGTTATAATGTTGTTTCCTCATTACAAACTTACATGGAGTTTTGTTTTGTTTCATTCACACATCTTTAAAAACACACAAAACTGTATATTTAAGAGGTCTTTTCTCAAACAGAAAATACTAGTTCCACCTTGTGATGCCATGTGGTAATAGAAGTAGTGCTCCACTGTGTTTTTAAACTCCATACACCTTCGCTAGAATTATTTGCAGCCACAGAATTGCCAATCTCTACTGAACTTAAAGGTAAAAGGAGCTGTTAACTTGAAAACCTTTGCTTCATGACATCACAAGGTGGAAAAAAAAAAACATGGAGCTTTGGAGATGTAAACTAGACTAATAATAAAGGGTTATTCAAACATGTATGAATGAAACAAAACACAACTTTGGGTATGTTTTTGAGGAGGTAACTGCATTTTTGCATGACTCAAGGCTCACAAGAGACAATTTTGTGTAATACAGGACCTTCAGCATTCAAATCACTAGCACCTGCCCATCCGCGAAGGACATGGCGATATCAGAAGCACATAACTTTCCTTGGTCTCACCTTTCTATAATGAAGCTTGCAAACCTGATTTAACTCACAGTAAATATTGATCGTGGTTCCCCCAACAGCTGTAGTCCCATATATTCAGAGCAGAGTGAGTCCAGCCATCTGCCCTGTCCAGACATATTACGGCCTAATGAGAAGAGAGTCCTGGACACACCTTAACTTGCACTGACAGTGGATAAACAGCTTTTAATTAAGATCCCCCCTCGTCGTGAATATTTAAAGAGCCCCAGAGTAAATTGTGTCAAATGGGATGTGGGAAATCTTCTGAGAAAAGCCGAAAGTTGAGGATAATTAAAACAGGTGGGCTAGACTCAATGTAAACAAATGTGACCGTGTGAAAGATTGAAATGAAGCCAACAGTGACAAATGCAGGTGTTTACAATATGTTCAGTGGCTACAGGCTACGAAATATTTATCCAGAAGTGGGTCACAAAAACATGAAATTAATTAACCACTCTTCTTCCAATATTATGTCTAGTTTTAAAGAAAATAGTGCTGTAAAAAGCATTGGTTGTCATTATCAACAAAGCACATCAAGCAAAGAGTAAAACGTTGCCATTACTGCTGCCACTGCTGCTTCTACTACTGCTACTATTTTTATACAACTAGGCTACTGCTACATACCCCACTACTGCAACCACTACTGCGACTATTATTGCTACAGCTACAACAACAACTGCTACTGTGGCTATGTTCAGACTGCAGCCTGACGTGACCCAAATCCGATTTTTTCGCCCCTATGTGACCTGTATCTGATCTTTTAATGACAACACAGATCCACAGATTTTTTCAAATGTGACCCAAATGTGATCCTAAAACCTACACGTATCTGATCTTTCGGCATGTGACTTCAGTCTGAACGGCCAGGTCGCATTCATCCCACCTACATGTCTGGCTCGGGATCTAGTCAATGGAGGGAAAGTAAGATTAGTGAGTTAATTAATATTTGGGGGGATCGCTGTATTTAGGCCAAATTGGAGGGGTCTTATTGGAACCGGGCGGTTTTTGAAATGATTGCCAAAGAAATGGCCGAGTGGGGCTACAAGCAGTCCTGGCTCCAATGTCAACAAAAAATAAAGAGCCTGCGAGCCAAATATAAGGAGGCTAAAGACTCCAACAAAGTCGCCATGGACGTGTAACCTGTCCATTTTACGAAGAACTGGACCATATTTTGGAAGACAAGCTAAGAGTTTATGCTACTCCCATAAATACTGCACACGCTCAGGACACGGGACACTTTTGGGGCACTTAAAGTTCACACTGGAGATCACATACAAGTGGCATTTGATCGGAAATGTGAATGACCTCACAAAAAAATTGGATATCACAAAAAAATTTGAATTGAGCATTAAGCCTTGCAGTCTGAACGTAGCCTTATTTAACTTCTTATCTTATTTAGTTGTCTGACTAAAAAAAGAAGAAGTTGACTATGAATATTTAAACAGCCCCAGAGTAAATGGTGTCAAGAAAATGAAAAGTTAACTATTATAACTTGAAGACAAGATGAACGTTAGAAAAATACTACTACTGCTTCTACTACTACTGTTACTTAACTTATATTTTTAGTCAGTCAGTCATTAAAAGATGATAAGTTTGTCAAGTTAACTATGAATATTTAAACGACCTCAGGGTAAATGGGGTCAAGAAAATAAGAAGTTATCTATCATAACTAGAAGACAAGATGAATGTTACAAAAATACTATTGCTGCTACTACTACTACCACTGCTACTTTTACTACCACTGTTACCAATACAACACTTGCTACTACTACTACTGCTAGTTAACTTCTTATAGTTTTAGTCAGACAAGTAAAAAAGCTAAGAAACTAACTATGAATATTTAAACAGTCCCAGAGCAAATGGTGTCAAGAAAATAAAAAGTTAACTATTATATCTTATAAAATAATACTACTACTGCTGCTACTCTCACTAGTTTTACTACTACTTTTACTAGTACTACTGCAACTACTACAACTACTACTACTACAAGTCAATGAAAAACACATCTTCCTACACCAGGGGACTTGATAGGGGGGGCAAGGGAGTCTCTTGTCCCGATCCCCATGGTCTTAGGGGCCCAGAATTGGAACCTCTTCTTATAAATTAATATTAGAGTGGGGCCCATGTGAGGCTTCTTGCCCTGGGCCCCTAAATTTCCATTGACGGGCCTGTCGCACACAGTACATATAACACTCGACTTTGTTGTGTCCTCACCTGACAGTGGTCCGCGGTGTGGCGATGTGATGGTGCCCGTGTGGTCCACTCCTCCGAACAAGGCGAGCTCAGGGGTGTTGGTGGGCACATGCTGGTTCTGCCCCTGGTGCCCCCTTCGCCCCGTGCCCACCGCGGGGCTCCGGTTGGGGGTCTGCGTCTGCTTGGCCGGGCCCAGGTGGTGGAAGTGCCCGCTGTCCGAGCCAGTGCCGATGGTCCCATCCAGACTCATGGACCTCTGCCCGGGCTCCTTCGGCTTGCTCTTGCCCGCCCCCATGAGGAGACCTGGGGTAGGAGAGAGAGAAGGTAAGTGAGGTTTACAAAAGATTTATTTTTTTCATACATGAGGAAATTATAATTCTTTTAGAATTTAAATTTGCAAGTAGAGATGTAACAATAACTGAATTATCGCAATATTATATCGTCAAAGGTCTCATGATAATTTTGTGGGCTGTCACAATATATCGAATATAAGCTTCTTTCTTTTAAGGGCCCATATCACGTTATTTTCTGATGTGTGTAAAATCTCTTGTCGTCCAGGTAGAATCCATGGCAAATGGAGAAATTCAATTTGTCAAATGGACAAAAGTTTATTTGGTCAAATACGTTTCGTAGCTCATCCAAGCAGCTTCTCCACTTCTGGTCAGATGCTGGTGGACACTTCCTTATATCTGCCTGAAGGGAGGAGCTAACTACAATGAAACTACTCTGAAACCAAGACCATAAGAAATGGCCCTGAATGATTACGTTAACATGACCCCACACTCAGTGCAAGTTCAATAGGCCTAAATAACTAAAAGAAACTGTAAACAAGTAGGTGTGTTAGTTTCAGAGTAGTTTTATTGTAGTTAACTCCTCCCTTCAGACAGATATAAGAAAGTGTCCACCAGCGTCTGATCAGAACCAAAGCAGCAGCTTAGATGAGCTGCAAAACATATTCAACCAAATAAAACTTTGTCCAGTTGAAAAAATAAAATTTCTCCTTTTGCCAGGCTATTTTCTGATATATGTCATAACGTTTCCTCATCACAAACATACAGTCAGAAGTCATGTTTTGTTTCATTCTCATGTTTAACACAGAAACCTGCATAGTTAGGCTGAGTTCTTCTCTCAAACTGGAAACACCTGTTCAACCTTGTGATGTCGCTTCATACACCTTCACTAATAATTTGGATAATTTCAGACCTGGAATTGCCAATCTTCTGAACAAAGGGTAAAAGGTAGCTGTTAACTTGAAAACCGCTAAGGTGGAGCAAAGAATTTTTAGCCGTTCCAGGGCTGGAATTACCCAAATGATTCAAGTGCAGATGTATGGAGTTTCAAAAACAGTCGAACTTTTTTAGTTTTCTTCTGTTTGGGAGAAGAACTCAACCTAAATATGCAGGGTTTGTGTGTTAAACATGTGTGAATGAAACAAAACACAGCTGAGGGTATGTTTGTGATGAGGAAACAACATTATAACACAGATAAGAAAACAGAGTAACATGAGTTCTTTAGATGTACCATAAAGGCAAAATATGTTTCCATGACAAATTATGTATAGACTGTATGCGTTTTCACACGGTGGCAGTAGTGTCTGATAGCACATATGCAGCTCATCTCAGATCAAGGTTTCGTTAACATGCACTGTCTGTCTACAATCTCTCACAAACACACACACACACACACACAAATCCAAGGTCACTTCAGCCGTCTGTTGATCCAATCTGCTGGAATCAATAAGAGAAACCAGGCCTTAGACAAAGCACGTGTAGATCGTAAATTATACACTGGTGACCTGAAGGACAGCGGCTTTTCTGCAGGTAACTACCACTTCCTCATTATGGGAAACTCAATGAAAATACTGCAAAGAGCATGGTACAATGTGTGCCTGAGAAAATGTTGTGTCTAAATGAAACTAAAATCTTCCGTGTACCTTCACACTCCTCAAAAATTGCATTTCAGAAAGACATTTTTTGTGTGGAGAAAGGGGTGAAGGAGGTAAATAAATATATATCCAAATTTAAAAGTAAAATTCTGAAAAGAAATACAGTTTTGTTTTCTTTTATCATAGTCAAGCAGTCAAAGTATCGTTTTAAAGCCAGATGCCCTTCCTACAAATCAATCAGGTGCGATCAGTGAGGCTGAAATGTCTCGCCTTGTTGCTATGAGACAAGACGACTGGTACTACTTTACCACTATGCTTGAAACAAAAGAGACTCCTGCTCGTCTCCATGGAGATTTAATATCGTACTGTGGCACATTCCAAACAGAGCAATAAAATATCCATGAGGGCAGAGAGACCCATCACCAGAAAAGTTTCAGAGCGAAGTACAACGTAGAAATTGGGACATACGCCTTTGTAAGAAGCACATTGCTGTTCTCGTAAAAGGCCTCTGACAACATTGGACAACTAATTTGACTAAAACACACTTAACATAGAAAGGAAAAAAAAAAAAAAGAAATCCCCATTGGCCATTTTTAAGTTTCACATTTTACTTTCTGGTTTGAAATCACACTAGGGGTTTCCATAACTGTTATCTAGCAACCATTTTGTACACAAGGCCAAAACTCTTCTGTCGTACCCAAATATTATCATCTGACAAATAAAAAACATAAGAAAACACCTTTATTTAGCTGAAACCATGTTTAAAATATCAGCATGTAAATTGTGTTGAACATTTGGACAGATTTCTCCCTCCCTACCAATGCAGAAATCTCTAAAATAGACCTAGACCTGCTTCTTGTAATTTCACATTTCTCATTTTTTCCTCACAGACTGCTTTTTAGATTAGTGTAAAACTATAATTCATATTTACAGTAGGTATTCACTGACCAAATTAAGTAGAAATGAGAGAATCATCAAAACCTGTCTTGAGCACATGGCAAAAATTAAGTAACACAGCTATTCAATTCAATTCCCTTATTGTTATTGTCATATAAAATAACAACAAAATTATGTTAGAGCATCATACAGACTGCATAGGTTTTTAAAAGTGCAAGCTATGAGATAAAAATGTGCAACAAGAATGCAAGCAATATTAAAACACAAGATTTAAAGGTCTTATATTATGCAAAATTGACTTCTGTGAGCTTTAACACGTGTTAAAATGTTTTTACCTCATCAAATGACCTGGAGTTGTGTTTTGTTTCATTCATACATATTTGGGAAATCCTTTATTAATAATTCATAATCTACATCTCCAAAACTAAAAATGCTCTGTTCCATATTTTCAAGTTAACAGCTACATTTTACCTTTAAAAGCTCATTGGAGATTGGAAATTCTGGAGCTGAAATTATCCAAATGATTCTAGTGAAGATGTACGAAGTTTAAAAACACAGAGGAGCACTTCCTGTATTACCACATGACATCACAAGTTGGAGCAGACTGTTTTCAGTTTGAGAGAAGAAGAGGATTTGTGCTTTAAACATGTGTGAATGAAACAAAACACAACTCCAGGTCTGTTTGTAATAAGAAAACAACATAACATTGATCAGAAAATAGGATAATATGGGCCCTTTAAAAGTATTTAGCGGAATAATATTATTTAATTCAAAATGACATCTTGAAGTGTTCCTAATAAATGAACAGACTTCCGGTCATTTACCCTCTCCCTCTCATCCTTCTCTCTCAAAACAGTTGCTGGACAGCCTCCCACTGATCTAACATGTGTCGGAAAAAGGATGTGAGATAGAGATTTGATCCCAGAGCCAGGGGAACAGCTGCTCCTACACAACACTACACACAAGTACACACAAGTACACAAGGTACACGCAAAGTACTACCCACTGGTGTCTGGGAAGTACTGCGTTCACAGAGGAACAGGGCTGTTTCATGTGTCTGTGACTGTCTCTGCTGCAGACTGAAATAACTGTTCTCGCTGTGAGTCACTGTGACCTGAGGCAAGCTCTGGACTGGACCAGCGCTATTGTTCAAATAATAAGCCGTATGATCATTTATACGGTGTTTAATTGTTGTTTAAAAGATGTGTTGTGTAACTTATCTGCTTGTTTCCCTGGAGATGTTGTCATTTTGCCTGGTATGTCCCACAGTATGCATGTTTTCGATTCCAAGCATTTATGTTGCTCAAAAATACAGCACTGTGCATTGAGCATTGTGGGCTCACCTCTTCAAAGATCTGACCTGTAACTTGGCCTCACGGTGTCACCTGCTTAATGGAGATAGCTGACATACCACAGAAGCAATCACATCTCCATGAGACAAGCAGATGGTGGACCCAAAAGGTCACGCAGTGCATTAAACAAAAGTGACTCTTGTGAGCTTTAAGCCATGTTACAATGCTGTTACCTCCTCAAAAATATACTTGGAGTTGTGTTTTGTTTTATTCATACATGTTTGAGTAATCATTTATTATTAGTCTACATCTCCAAAGCTAAAAATGCTCAGTTCCACATTTTCAAGTGAACAGCTACATTTTACCTTTAGTTCATCAGAGATTGGAAATTCTGGTGCTGAAATTATCCAAATGATTCTAGTGAAGGTGTATGGAGTTCATGGCTGGGTATCATTAAGAAGTTGCCGATACGATACATTCCTCATATAGTGCACTTTCGATTCAATACAATATATTTCAAATCTATTCGATACGGCTCAAGAAAATATAATGGCTAAATCATGGCTGTGATACTAAAAGTCTTTGTTAAACCACTTTTTGTGCAAAGTGAATATGAAACACACATTTTAAAACAGTGAATATGTCAAATGTGCTGCAACAAAGAGTTTCCTTCCTCTAAACAAGCAACAAAGCTGTAGCTGTAGCAAAATAATTTAGTAAAATATACCAAAAAAATCTTCTTGGTGATATATCGATACAGCAACCCATGACATTGATTCTGCATCATCACATTAAACAATAAGATATATTGATATTTTGGATACCCTTAATAGAGTTTAAAAACACAGTGGAGCACTCACTGTATTACCACATGACATCACAAGGTGGAAAGGAGTGTTTTCTGTTTGAGAGAAGAACTCCGGCGGGGTTTGTGTGTTAAACATGAACGAAACACAAAACAACTCCAGGTACAGTATGTTTTGGATGAGGAAACAACATTATTACATACAGTAGGTCAGAAAACGTAATACAGACCCTTTAAAGTTTGTACATACTACGCAATATTCAGGATTTAAAGCTTGGGCAACAAGTACTATGCTTTACCTAAACAAGGATGTGTTTTTTTTTTTTATTCTCGAGGGGCGAAGAGAGTGACTGACAGGCAAATTAACCAGAGAAACACTCTACTACATTTGCAATGATGAAAAAATTATACGGTTACAAATTTC